ATTGATAAATAGCCTGAGTGGATGGATGTCCCATTGCAGGATTGTCTTTATGGCATTTGTGGTCACTGTTTCGTGTTCTTCCCTTGCTATAAAATGTGCTCCCTAACTGGGTGAAAACTTTTAAACAAGAGAAGAACTGGAACTGTTTTGCAGTTAGAAATTTTGAGACATGGAGTGATTTGTGGCTCACAAGGCCCTGTTGACCTCATGAATATAACTGATTGTAGGGTGATAACAAATTGGTATCCCAGCAGTGTGTAACTGCTAAAAGCTCATGCATGTGTCCCCACCCATGAGCTGACATCTCTTTGTACTGTATGCCTTGCAAACACCTGAAAAAAACCCTTCTGTCAACAACCTTGCTGTTCCCCCCTGCAGCAGTCAACAAATTTATTATTGCAAAGTCTTGGGGAAGTCAGGAAATGTTCTTATTGTAATTCAGCCTAATCGACCTGTAATTCAACCCACCAGTCTTTTCAACCCACCAGTCTGACAGACCCAGGGCAAGAAGCTGCAGGTGAAATCTTGATCCACTTCAGTGGAATTTTTCCTCTTGGCTTCCAAGAGCCAACGTTTTCTGCAGGCACTCGTGGAGGGTCAGTCCAGTGTGGTCACTACACCACTCATCTTGTGTTCTTGGAAGGTTGACAGAGAGATATTTCACAAGATAAGGCCTCAAGGGGGGAAAGTGGGATGTTACCTTAAAAGGAGGCAGAGTCTTGGAAGAGATAAGGTGAGGATGCTGAAATGGTCCCCTTCACACAGCTAATTAGGATGTGAATACCTCACCCCTTGAACAGAGCCAAGGCTTTGTCAGAAGGAAAAGGGTTAACAGAGGTTCCATATTTCACAACCAGGAGCAGGGAGTGGTGGGATCATACTTGAGTAAGCCCTAGGTGGTCCCAAAAGATAGCAGGAGCCTCCAGACAAGGAAATGGTAAATTTTTACCTTCTTAGGTAAAGTTAAGAGTGATAAAATGACTGAGCAATCATTTTCCTTACTATTTTGGATAGAAGACCTGGCTCATGTCTGAAAGGCATTTTGCTCTTTCTGCAAATTATTACAGAACTGGAATCAAAACCAAACATCTCAACCCTCTTCAGTGTTCCACAGATTTTGCACACTGGGTAAGGAACCCAGTTTTGTGACAACAATTTGAGAGCAGCAAGTTTGGCCCTGCTCATTTTGGATCTGAAGCTATTCCCTGTGGGACTTTCTCCTCAGTCCTCTGCTCCTGGAAGACCACTTGGGAGCAGTGCAGTTGTCAGTGTCAGTGCATCTGGCACCAAAATAAATGCTGCAGAAATTCTTTGCCCATTTAAGAAACCATCAGATCTGGGCACAATTTTGCATTGTGTTGAGATGAAATACTTTATGTCTGAAAAATGCTGATTCATTGAATTCAAAATGGAGACCAAGAGATGCATCTAACCAGGTCCAGGACAAAAGCATCTCTGAAATCATGACAAGTTTTGTGTGACAGGCAAGTGAATGTTCCCATCCAGATGTGCTGACATTTTCTGGTAATGCTTGGCTACCTTTTCATGACAATGAAAGGAGAAGTTAGATGACAAAAAACCAAACCATATTTCTTAGCTGAAATCATACTGGATTTATTTTAAAATAATAAAGGTGAGGGGAAAATAAAAACTACCCAAGTTATTTATCAAGGTCTTTTGACAGCTGTCACATCAGAATCACACAGTTTCCATTTCCACTTGACAGTAATTAAGTTCTCTTAACACAGGTAAAACTGACATCCTATTATATTGCTCAAGACTAGCAGGTTCAATACTTCAAATCACAATCATTTTGGTATCATGCTGAGAGGTATTGGTCCTAACAAACAAATAATGAATTATTATTAGCATGGAATAGTCAAAATTCCAGAAGTAAGTTTGTTCAAGCATGGGTTGCTTTTTCTTTGAAAGAAATAATTGAAAGTAGCATTTACACTGTTAAGAGATGTCAAACAGATCTGCAGTTTACAAGAGTAATACAAGTACCTTCCTCCTGTACAGTCCTTTGGAGGAAAGCCTGAAGGAATCCAGAGTTTTGCTTTGCTGAATTAATTGCCTCTTGTGGATTTTTTTTTTGCTGATGTGAAGCATTTCCTGTGGCATTTTTATGTGATTTGCTGCAAACCTGGCAATATTTAGCAAGTTTATTTGTTTTTTTTTCCCACCTCCTAGTACTAAAAAGTTTAGGCAGTGTAAGGAGAGCTTATAGTAGTAAGTAGATTTCCTTGGGCATTGTTCCAGCTTGACATGGTATTTTGAAGTATAAAAAAAAGTGACAGCCTTAAATTAAAATTGTTTAAAGTCTTGGAGATTGATTGTATTCCAAAAATACTGTTCTGCTTTGGGTGGGGATTGAGGAAATAATGAATGAGTCACACTTACTAAGAAAACCTGCTTTAAAACAAGATGTGATTTTGGTTTTTTTTCTGTCACAAAAGTCACTAGTCAGTTGAAATGCAGATTGCTGGCTTCTTTTTGTAATTAAATAAATCTTATGTGTTAGTAAAGGTAGAGGGTAGGTGAGAGACTGCTGAGACAGTAGTTTAGGAGGGTCACTGCAAATAACACCTTAGATGAGATGTGTTTGTAGTTCTCTGCTGACACTAAACAGCACAACCACAGGGCTCAGTGCAAAATGCAAATACCAGGATTTATTTGGGACACCCAAAATAGTCATCCCCAGTTACAGATATTTATTTAATACAGAGATGTGAAGAGAAAAGCTGTAATGAATGTCCTCCTGCTGCACTTATATCAGAGGATACATCAGTCTTGTCATTCAGGATACACATTTTTTCCCTTGCTGTACAGACAGGTCTTCAGGCTTTGCCCATTTCTCTCTCTTTCTCATGAATTATGTTAGCTGGTCTAGCTGTCTTCCATCTGAAGACTTTAAGCAGGCCTACAGGGGTGTAACCATTCACCCTAAAACTCACTGTGTCCTCTTCTTAAATAGCAGACAATCTTTTTAGCTAAACTATTTCATAATTGGAATAAAAATAACTTTCTATAGACTTGTAAAATGCCTCATTGTTGTTACAGGAGTAATCTCCTCCATTTGATTGCCTAAAAATCTATTCTTAGCTTCAATGAAATGTGAAAGTCTCTCTTTTCTCTGGTGATCAAAGTGATGCAGGGACTGTTGGTGCAAATCTTTGTTTCTGAGAGCCTTGGAGACCCTGTGGTCAGTTAGAGTATGGATTTGTGTGACAGCTTATTCCTTCCCTTGCAAAGTTGAGAGGACACAGAACAAAACTCTCAAAACTTAACTTGAAACACTCCTGCCCACTAAAATCATACAGGGTTTGCTGTAGACAGCAGATTGCATGCAAGGTTATCAGCTTATTTTACTTCTTAAAAAGTAGACCCAAATATAGATATATTTTCTGTCTCTTTCTTTCATTGACAGAGTTGAATTTGCTTTATCTTACAGGGCTGAAAGTGCCATTAAAAATCTTTCACTTGTTGCAATTCAAGATTTGTTTCTGTGTATTTTGTTTTATCACTTGGTGCTAAGATAACTTCTGCCTCTAGTCAACACCTTTGTGGGTTTCATGAAAGCTAGTTCAAAAGCTTCAAAGGCTAAGTGCAAAAGAAGAAGATAAAAATCTTTAAAAATAAGGAAATATAAAAAGAAAGTTTCTAACAGTCTTGTGACTTAGTCACCTTATACATCCTGGATGCTTTGAGATACTAATTTATTATATTTGTGACAAGCAGTATCATATTAAGCTAAGCATTTAGCAAGAGAGACAACAGAATATGAGATACTACAACACAGCCAAGGTATCCCAGTGCTGTTGGAAGTTTAACTGTGCACTTCAAAACATTGTACCCTGGTTTCTTTAAGCAAACATTGTTATCAATCATTGGCATTTAGAATAATATGAAAGATTTAATAAAATCAATATAGTCGGCTTCATTTAAAGTCCAGCACCAGTTTTCTGAGAAGCTGCTTAACTCCTTACTCCACATTTGTTCCCCTTGTAAATCTAGGAGGTAGAAATAGAAAATTTCTCTGTTTCCCCACCCCATTTGTTGTCAGACTGGACACCAGTTGGGCAAGTGGTATCTTCCCCACAACAGAGCAGGAACATGCCAACTTTATGGAGCTGTTTTATTACAGAGTTCAACTCTGTAAATGAACTAAAACATTGGTCCTGTTGAATTCCTTTTCTCAGAAGCAGCAGCATGGAGAATGACTCAAATCTTTGTGAAATGTTTGCTTTTCAGGGACATTTGCATGTGACTGTGCCTGCAGTGGAAGAAACATAAACCTCCTGCAGCTAAACAGAGCAGACCTGGGCTTTGAGTGGCACACAGTGTCATGCCATTATAGGACAACCCAAGCAGGCAGAAATTGAGTCAGATCTTCCCAAAAGTCTTAAAAAGCACGAGTGGATTTTGTGGTGTTTGAGGTTTTTTTTTTTCCCCTTTAGGTTAAAGGTTAAATTTGTGATTTGTCTTTGGGTTTCTCTGCCTTCAGGCCATCTTTCGTCTGAAATCAGAAGGGCTAGAAACTTGATTTAATTATCATGATTAAAACTAAGATTTAATGCCATAATCAAGTTGAGACTTCACAGAAAACACACAAGACTCAAGTTACGAGAACTGGTACCCCACAAATCCATTAAAACATTGGCTTTCTAAATTGAGAAAACCTCCAAAAACCCCAGAATTGATCAGGTCGGTTCGAGGATACTGCGACGCGTTTGTGGGTAAGCTAGGAACCAAAGAGAAGCAGCACTTCTGTTGTGGTGTTTTTCTTGCTCTGCGTGGAATAAAAACCTGTATGTGTTGAAGTTTGAAGCTTCCCTTGGAATGTCTTTGAGTTAATTTCTCCTACCTGACATCCCAGCTGCATTACACTTGAGCCTCTGCCTCTGTCGTCCGTTTCTGTATTTCGGCTTTTCTCGCTTCACTCCTTTCCCGTCACCTTTGGAGGGAGAAGTTCCCTCCTCCACAGCCCCAGCTGCCAGTCAGAGGGACACGGAGCGTTTCCTCTTCCTCGTGGCCTGCTCCCCAGAGATAAAATTGGACAGGGAGTGGCTCAGGCGAGTGTCCAGAGTCTCAGAGGTGTTGCCACCGCTGCTGGTCCTCGCCCGCGGGCACAGGCACCTCAGCATGGCTCTGCGGATGTAGTTGTCAAAGCAGTAGTAAATGAAAGGGTTGGCACAGCTGTTGGCAAAAGCAAAAGGGCTGCTCACCCTCATGCCCAGCTGAGCAACCGTGTTGGGAAAGCAGTCAGGCTGCTTCAGGAGTCCCAAAAGGATAGCCATAAGCTTGAAGAGATTGAAGGGAACCCAGGAGATCACGAAAGCTGCCACTACAATGAAGACAATCTTAATGGATTGTCTCAGTTTCTTATCGTGTTTGCCAGCTCTCTGGTAGTGCATGCAGAGTCTCCTGGTGATGGAGCAGTAAAAGGTTAAGATGCTCAGCAGGGGGAAGAAGAAGGCCAAGATTAAAAGCATCAGTGACGCGATCTGTTTGGCTTCTGTCATGGCTTTGTCTGTGCAGTAAGTCTTTCCATATTGCTTCTTCAGTTCCCTGGACAGCAGGGTTGGCATCCCTAAGCAGCAGGATAACAGCCAGACACAGATGCAGAGTCCACTGGAATAGGATCTTGTTCTGACTCGTCTAGCAATGGAGGGATGCATGATAGCGAGGTACCGGTCAGCACTCATGCAGGTGAGGAGGAGGATGCTGCAGTACATGTTGACTGAGATGACATAGGAACTAGCTTTACAGAGGAAAGATCCTACCCTCCAGCTCCCATCTGATGCCTCCTCGTCCAGCCAGAACGGCAGCGTGACGAGGAAGATGAAGTCAGATGCTGCAAGGTTGATGATAAAGACGTCGATCAGCCTCTGGACCCGCCGCTTGAAGACCAAGGCTACTATGAGGATGGAGTTGCCAGTAATGCCCACCAGGAACACAACAGCATACAGGATAGGGAGGAAGGTAGACAGATGCTGCAGGTGCTGATGCTGGCAGTTGTCATCATAGTAGTAGTCATAGTTGAAAGTGACTGTAGTCACAGGCGAAAACGGGGTGAGTTCCATTTCTGGCCGAGCTGTCCTCATCCCCGCTCTGAGGAAGTCTCTGAACTCCCCCTACCCTTCCCCTCAAGGTCTTTAAAAACCTTAGCAAGTGAGGGTGGAGGGAAGGGGGAAGGGAGGAGGAAAAAGTGGTTTAGGGTGGGTAATCTGTATACTTTTAGCCAATCGCATAGGTAACAGCCAAGCAACGAATCTCTGATTAGTCAAAACCTGTCTTCAGAATAAACACTTGCTTTTTTTAAAATCAAGCTTAAGTTTTACTGATTTTATCTTCATTTTGCATTTGCCTGTATATAAACCAAACCAGGTTTGGGTTTTGCTTTTATACTTGAGGGGAGGGAAGGTAGTTTTCAGGACTCTGAACTTTTTAGGACAGGATATCGCTAGTTTGCAGAGATTCAAGATTGCACCAGCTCAGAAGTCAGAGAACAGTGAATTAATGTGATACAGCCTTTATCTTTACTCAAAACTTTTTGTATAAATTGCTTTTTGGGGCAAGTTCAACTTTTCCAAGGATTGGAGGTCTTTGTGGTTTTTCATCCATTTATGATTGTTGTTTTTTGTTGAGAGGAATCCTCTCATAAGAAAATATTTGGGGAAAAACATTTAGAGCTACCATCTTCATTCTGCTCTGTAGTTAGTTGTTCTATATCAGACTTAGGCTCTCCACTCCTGCCCTGCAGCTCCTCCAATTCCTCTCTCCACACCCAGCTTTATAAACATTTTAGAAACTTAGATATCCAACATGTCATACATTCTTCTGCAATTTGAAACTTGACTTGATGTTGCCATCCCCACACATGCTTCCTTATCGACCACAGTCCAGGTCTCCAGAGCAGTGGGTTTGTTCCTTCTCCTTCTGATGGTGTAGCCTGCATGGCTCTTGGGCTGCTGTTACTTAAAAGTGCTTGCTTCTCTTAGAGAGGTCTGATTTCCTTCATCTCTCTCTCTCAAAGTGTCTATATCACTGCTGCTGTCACTTACCTTACAGATGGCCCTTTCAGCATCACATAAATCAAGTGAAAATTCTCATTTTTTTTAAACTACTGAATTCATTACAGCTTTGCCAGCACATACCAGTTTGAAACTTCTACTACTGGTCTTCATCATCCTTCCTCTCTTCTGCAGATGAATTAATTTTCTCTTTCCCCTCCCTCCCCAGGCCGATAGGTCACATTTATATTTGTCTCCACAGGCAAAGAGCAACTCCAAATTTCATGGACAGCAAATTAGTCCCTCCAGACTGGATCTGAATCCCATCCAGAGAGAGTCTGGGTATGCTCAGATTCACTCTGCCAGCACTCAGGTTATATGGGTGATATGCTGCTGTGCAGCAGGGACCTGGTAAACTTCCAGGCACTTGGAAAAGCATCAACTATTAAATTAAAAGCTATTAAATGACTGGCTGCTGGATCAAGGGATGCTTAGGTGGGCAGTCCCTCTTGTGTAGATAAGCTGATAGGGAGCTAGTTATATACAACTGCCTTCCTATCCCTAGGGTGCTAGTGGACTCTAGCTGAATATTTTTCATGGAATGGGTACAGATGAAGTTATCTCAGTGAGAGTAATTCAGCTATCACATCTGAAAAAAGATCAAGGTGTATAAAAAATCCCTGGCTTAGATTACCTGTTTGTGTGCCACAGATAAAAGTGTGAACCTATAAGGAAGCACAGGCTAAAAGTCATCTTCTTGCCATCTGAAGATGACAAAAGATAAACCTACTTTTCAGCTAAGAGTTGTGTAAAAATGCCCAAGTATTTTACAGTTTACAGAAATGATTTTTGATGGATCCAGTGTGTGGAGGTGATTTTTCTGTCATCTTTGTTCATTTCTGCTTCAAGGAATGTATTTTAAGTCTTTTTTTCTTCCAAGAAGCACTGGAAAATAGAGACATCCTCTTCCAATTGGACTAGAGTGGAAGACCAGCTGATCCCTACAGTCTGCACTACAATAGCTCTGCCTCTCTTGCAAAGATGGACCTACATGTTCTTTTACTCTGCACTTAGATCCCAACGACCTACATGCACTTTCAAACCTTAGAAATCAGCCACAAACTTCACGCCCTCCATCTCACACTGCTGTACACTCCTTGAAATTCACTCACCTCCCTCTCCCTGTCCCAGAGCAGACCAAAAAAGTGAGTAACTTTTTCTAAAGCTGAATGGAATCATGAAGATAAGCACAGATCCATGTATCCTTGTGTTTGTGGTTCCTTTGTTGTCTCCCTGTAGGTTAGCCTGCCTTAGTAATATAAAAAATTGGCTAATAAACCTTTTCCAGCAGGGATCAGCTCTGTTCTCTTGAATTTGCTCTGTACTTCTTGAGTGCTCTAAATAAACCCGTGGGTGTTGCTGTGTTTTGCCATATTACAGATGTGACACTTCCTTATCTGGTCAGAAGATTTGCAAAGATAAGAGGAGGCATTGTCATGAATAATGAAGTTATCTGTATTTGTGGTAGCCTGTAAGCCTTGTGGGGGTTTTAGGTGGTATTGATTCACTTAGAGCATCGAGTAGGGTCTTACTCTTCCTACAGCTCATTTCCCAAGGTAGAGCCAAGCTCTCAAAAATACTCAGCACACAGAAATTCCCCTCACAACACATCTGCATAGATATTCCAAAAAGCTCAGCATGTGATGTGCTTCTCCTGACCAAAATTTCCTGC